GATACATCCTCTGGGGAATTCCCTAATTTCAAATAGCATTCAGTCTAGCATATTATTTCCCCTACAACAGAGACAATAAAAATAGCATTCAGTCTAGCATATTATTTCCCCTACAACAGAGACAATAAAGCCATGGTTAAAGATGATGCTTAGGTGCTAGTTAGGCTCACACTCTCTCAAGTGAGTTTGCTTCTACCCATCAGCATTCCAGGACATGAGGCATTTGTGCTTCATCTAAGTTATGCTGACTTCTAGGGTCACGTAGGAATTGTCGAGACTGAATAATAATTCATGGATGCGAAGCCTCTACAGTGCTGAAGCTGATGTTTTGGAGGACAGTTTATTGATCAGTGAGCATAAGTGTATATAAAATTTAACAATACAAGAGGCATGTATTGAATAACAATAATATGCCAGTGCCATGGGGGAGGTCACAGAAGTTTGAGAAAGGGGTTATATTTGGGTGAGAACAGTAATATGTGTATATACAAAAAACAAACGACTTTGTAAATTAAGTATAAGTTAAGACTGAACAAAGTTGAAATCAGATTACCCACTCTATTCGTCAGTCTTTGCTCCAACTAAATTTTGGCCATTTACAAGAAATAGCCTATCAAAGAATAAAGGTTTGCTATTCCAAAGGATATTCAGAAGATTATGCTGTATGCTTTGAAGGTAAGGCTAAAATATTAAATAATGAGAATATGTATAAGGCCTGTAAGTAACAACTGATTCATAATTTCTCATACATTATTTTAAAGGATGCTACTTATAGCTTCACCTTACTAAAGGGAAGAAGGGTCAAATTAGGCTTGGAGAGAAGCAGCCAGTGCAGTTAGAGTTTTCAGTTGCTTAGTATCTGAACTTGGTCTTAAAATGTGTGTAGGTGGAGAGATTTCACAGCTCTAGCAACAAGAGCTGCAAAAGAGGAGAAAATGAACAAGTTATGTTTAGGAAACAAGGAGAAAGTTCTGACTTTGATGACGAGTAAGTAGCTAGGAGTAAATTGTGAGAACACTGGGTGGGAAGGAGTTTGGATTTTATCCTATAGACAAGCTACTGCTTTAAGCTTTGAATAGCACTGAAGTGATAAAAAGGTTTGAGGAAAATTGGTCAGAAAGCAATATGTGAATGGACTCGAGTAAGGAAGATGTTCAACAATTCAATTAGATGAAGAGGGACTGATTGCACAAGGGCAGAGAGAGTAGAAGTAGGAAGGACAGCTCCTGGAGACATTTTGCAGGAAGAATGAAATCAAGGACTCACTGATTTGGTGTATAGGTGATCAAAAAATGAATGACATTTAGTATCAACTTAGGATGGAAATATTATAGCTAAAAGTGTTCTGGATCCAATCCCATAAGCAATCCCACACTACTAGGGTGTCCGATAATTCAAGGCAATTCTGACACTGCCCAGAGATAGTTTAGAGGTTGTCACTTGAGCTTCTGACATACTCCCTCCTTGGACTTCAGACACCAGTCACGAGTCCAGGTTTTTACCTGAACTTTTGACCAACTGGTTACAAATCAAAGGTTCTCACGACCCCCTTCTTGGGTTCGAACAATTTACTATGTGGCTCACAGAACTTAGGAGACCTGTTTACTCACTAGATTACTGATTTGTTGTAAAAGGATACAACTCAGGAAAACCCAGACGAAAGAGATGCAGAAGGCAAGGTATGGGGAAAGGACGTGGAGCTTCCATGCCCTCTTCAGGCATACCACTCTCCCCAAATTCAGGTGTTCCCCAACCCAGAAGCTCCAAGACCTGTCCTCTGGGTTTTTCATTTTGTGGAGGCTCAATCTTATAGGCACGACTGATGAAATCACTGGCCATTGGCAATTCATTCAACCTCCAGTCCCTTTCCCCTCCCCAGAAAACAGGGTGAGACTGAAAGTTTCAATCAGCTATTCAAAGTTGGTTCCCCCGACAATCAGCCACTGTTCTTAAGTGCTTTTCCAGACTCTTATCATTAATATAAGAATAGATATCTTTGTTTTGCTCTCATCACTTAAGAATCAAGAGTTTTAGGAGCTCTACGACAGAAACAGGGACAAAGACCAAATATATATTTATTATAAATCACAACATTACACTAGCTAGAATTGTAAATGAGAGGCAGCTGGTCTGGTGGGGTAAATAAAAAATGTTAAGTGTGATTCTAAAGCATGCTAAAATTTCTTAAAGCTCAGTGTAAAGATATAGTTCATTTCTGTTTAAATTGTTTTTTAAAAGTGTTCTTGATTATTGGTATAGATACAAGCTTCTGGAGGAGAATATCAGTTTTTGTTAAACTCTTGCTGAAAGTGGAATGTCCTATCCAAAGCAGTTGTTAAAAGCTGTGGTGCTGGTGCTACTGGGATTTTCCCTTTAAATGTCCCGCTGCTTTCCTGCCTTGACTTCTGACCTGTAGCACCTTTAGCTAGTAACCCTGCAGTTTCCTCATCCCTGTTTTTTTGTTGTTGTTTTTTGTTTTTTTGGGGGGGTGAGGGTGGGGTGGGGAGGAGGGAGGAAGCTACAGCCATGGAGTTGAATGGCACCTTTGCCCTGGAAACCACAAACTTGCAATTCTTTTCCCTTCCAATTGCAGTTTTGGGGAACAAACTCTCCCTTGGCTTCTGTCTGCTTCTAGATGTGGATCTAGTGTTTTAAAATAGCCATTAAATTTTTTTAAATTTAGTCTTTAGAATTATTAGCTCGGGTTCATGGGACGACTTCACTCCTCTACTTTAACAGAAGACTTATGTTCTCTATACAGTAATATACTTAATACAGGGAATAATTTGCCATAGAAAATATTTGGAGATCACTATTCCGCAGGACAACACGAGTTCAGATATAATGCAACAGATTCCTCTCCTCACTCTAGTCCCTTTTCATTTCATCAACCCTGCAATAAACTGAGCTCACATTTTATACAACTTAAGTTTTGGACCTTCTTTTCAACATTATAGAACGATTTTATCACCTACTTACATATAGACTGATGAACAGAAAGAAGTAAAACTTGTGAAAGGACCTACACTAGAATGTTAATAGCTATTTCTGGATGGTGAGATTATATAAGACTCTTTTTTTCTTTAATTTTTCTACAATGAATCTATATTTATTTATTATAAAAGCTTATTGCATGTCATCCAATGTAAAGATATTTCATTATTAGCAAGGGTACTTTTGCTCACCTGTCAAAATGTTCCACATAGGGCATTGCAAAGAATCGTTTCCTATTGTACTTTTTATTCAGGTACCAAGGTATAGGCCACTGCTTGAACTTGTGCCTGCCAAGAAAGTAAACACATTTAATACATTTTTTACACAGATACAGAGTTTTAACCTTCTTTGGCCTAAATATATCTTCAATAAATCAAAAGCAAAACAAAAACCCTATAAGAGAACAGTACTCTCACACATTCTAAAACTGACAGATTTTCTCCCTCATCTCATCCCTTTCCTAACTGACTTCAACTATATTAATCCAACTAAGAATGAGTAGAAAATAAAACAGAAAATAAATTGTTTTTTATTTGACTAAAAGTATTTAGTCAGATGTTTTGGCAAGTCTTCTCTTTTCTGTATTGGATTACATGGTTAAAGACAGCATAGCTACTCCTCTAAATGTGGCTCCAAGCAGCCCCACCACCTCAAACTCCATCAAAGAACCCATCAAATGGTAAGCACTATTATGTGATATAATTTCAAGAGCACAGGGAAGGTCTCCAACCATCCAAAATGTCTTCCCCCTTTTGCTGACCAATGTTTAAAATTCTGTTAATGATGTTTCCTTTTGGCAGCTCAACCCAAATGTAAATAAACCCCCGGCAGAGACAGAATATATTGGGTCTTCTCTATTATTTATACCTCAGTATAAATGTTTATTATCAGATCTTTTCCTGAGGTCTGACAGGACTTTGGGAACTGGACATAGGAGACAAGATTAAACTGTCTCCTAACTTGGACTAGGGCTTATCCTGATGGCAATGAGAGCAAACTAAGTCTGGTTTGTGTGGCCTTATTCCTTGAAAACATCTTTTTAATAGTCCCAGGTTCTTAATGTGCATAGAAGACAGGTATGTGTCCTAAAATTAGCCTCATAGCATTTATAACTCTCTGAATTACATATATACATATACATTTTTCTAGGAAAAGGATCTATAACTTTCATCAAACTCTCAAAATGTTATATGATTAAGATTAAGAAGACATAAAGGACATTAAGAGGATAAAAGGACATAAGATTAAGGACCACTGTTATAAAGAACCTATACATAATTGACTCATGGAGAAGCAATGCCTGTGCTATTAGATAAGGCTACCTTTGTTCATATCCTGGAGTTCCAAAAAGGTTTGAGGACCTCTGCTTATATGAGATACTTCTCTAATATATCTAATACATCTCACACAGTGAGAGTTTTCTTAAAAGATATTGGACAAGGGATAGAGGCACAAGCTTTCCACTCTCATCTCAGAAAAGCCACAATATAAGCTATGTACCAGAAGACTCTCCCAAAGATGTCTCTTCTCCAAGCACCAGGTCTAGCTTTCTCTTGACCAGTCTGAAGAAGTCTTAGGGCATCTTCTCTTTCCTGGACAACTTTATCTAATGCATCCATAGATTCTATTACCTAAAAGAACAGAAAGATACAATTTCAACAATCACCTACAACAGAATTCTAGAAAAAGAAAACATGTAAAGACCATGCTACAGAAAATCTATGATTAATATTTCTGTAAAAGAATCATTCTGTCAAATATTTCCTAAATATCTTTTTGGCACAGGTATGCATACATAGGTGTCTGCAGTACAGCTTTTAGTAATTTTTAAAAAGTTCAATTTCTATCTTAAATTGAAAATAATTCTTTTAAAAAATATTTTCTTAATAAATTTTCCTTAGTAGTATGTCAGAAAACACCAAGAAAACTGCATATATTTTTTAAAAATTGTGGTCACTTTATCTGGAGAAAATTTTTATTGTTTTGGATTCTACTAATTCAAAAAGCGCAAGGACATATGACCTACTGTGCTGAAGTTCACCTCTTAAATATATATTTTAAAACAAGGAGAGGGGATAAATCTATTATTGAAATTTAAAACTTTTAACAGCACTGTTCTAGTAAAAGCCTTTTCATTAAATAAACAATGTGCTCTTTATAAACAACCAATACACTTAAAAAGATCTCTAAAACATAACTGTTCTTAACAGCAGAGTTAACAAGTATACCTGAAATAAAATCATATTACTTGACAAATGTTATGTAGCAATGAAGATAACTACCACTTAGATCTTAGTTTCTAAATATACCATTATCCATTAAAAGGAATCAGGGTTCCTCTGTAAAATGGTTGAATCCCAGGGCTGGGTAGGAAAAGCACAAGATGAATCCAGAACTTCCTGCTGTGCCTTATCAATGAATGATGAGTACACAGGGGCCAACTTGGAGGAACCCACAGTGGTGAATTAAAAATGATATTAAAGGATTTTAACTCTTTAAAATTGGAATCCATGAGTCCACAATGGCAGGAAAGAAGGAGGGATGGAATGAAGGAAAGAAAGGAAAGAAGAACAGAAAGAAAGAAAGAAAAAGAGAGAGAGAGAGGGAGGGAAGGAGGAAGGAGGGAAGAAGGGAAGGAGGGAAGTAGGGAAGGAGAGAAGGACGGAAGGGGAAAGGGAAGGGGAAGGGGAAGGGGAAGGGAAGGAAGGAAGGGAGGGAAGGAAGGAAGGAAAGAGGAAAGCCCTTCCTTATAGAAGAAAGCTAACTAATAAATGTAAAATGAATCATGGGCTTAAAAAATTAACATTTAGCAAATATTATAGTAACAATTGATTCAGGCAAGAATCATCAATGGATGCTAAATCAGGTGAGTGCAAGTTTGAGGAGTTACAGGATATTTACATGATCTCAATACAAAGAAAAACCAGAAACTACATAGTGAAGAAACCTGACAGACACCACACTAACCGAACTGTCAATGCTAACATCGGTAACAAACACATCAACATCCCATGCCTCCTGATATGATGCACCGTGAAGAATAAAATATCACTTCTATGATATTTCTGCCAATCATCAGGATTATCATGAGAAACTTCATACAAACCCAATTTGGTCTACACTTTTCAAAAATGTCAAAGTCGTGAAACACAAAGAAAGACTGAATCTGGATAGATTAAAGGAGACTAAAGAGACACAACAACCGAAAATACATGATCCAGGATCTTCTTTTGGTTTAAAGGACATTGTTGGGATAACTGATGACATCTGAATAAGATTTGTGGGATCAGATCATAGTATTATATGAATGTTAATTTCCTGCTTTGAAAATTGTACAGTGGTTATGTAAGGAAATATCCTTGTTTTCTTGGCAACATACACTGAAGTATTTATGCAAAAAGAAACATCATGTAGATAAATCACTCTCAAACAGCTAAGGAAAAAATATATTTATGTAGAGAAGGAAGCAGAGAAAGATAAAGTAAATGTGGTAAAATATTCTTATGAGGAACCTGGGTGAAGGGCATCTCTTTGTACTATTCTCATAACTTTTCTGTCAGTCTCATGTTATATCAAAATACCATTTAAAAAAACAAAAATGTTATGTAACTCAATTTTCACAGAATAAACTTCTCTGCAATTAGAGTAAATAATTGAGATTTTATTCTGTACTTTTTGATTCTCTCTAGGGACACTGTCTTTCCTTCTTAGCGGCAATGTGGCAATAATGGTTGTGAGTGGTATGGGGAAAAGAAACTAACACAGCTGAGGTTAGGAAGTAAGACTTAAAGCTACTACAAAAAGCCGAGCTCAGTTCTCACTGACTACTAACTATGGCATGGAAAAATCAATAAAGAGTTGATCTCAAAAGCAATGTAGGAAAAAAAACTGATACATATAACTAAATAAAACTTCCCACATGGAAGAAGTATGTTAAGCATGTACAGTCATGAAAAAAAGGGAGACTTACATATATTGATATGGAAAGATATCCAGGATAGACTAGGTAAGTGGAAAATGCAAGTTTCAGAAAAGTATACAAAGTATAACCAAACTTGTGAAAATAAAAATAATTAGGCACACTTGTACATGCAGAGAAAAATTCTGATGAATAAATAGGAAATATATACAACTGGTTACCTCTTGGTGTTGAAATAAGGAACCCAAAGGATTTTCTTTTTAACGAAGAAAACCAAATTTAAAAAATAGTTGACTTTTTCACAACAATGCAAATATACTTAACATTACTGAACTGTACATTTAAAAATGATTAAGATGGTGAATTGTACATTATGTTTTATCATAATTAAAAAATGCATAAATAAAATTTGATCTAGTTGGCAAGGAAGTGGCTAAACTGTAAAGAGAAGTGTAAAATAGTGCAGCTACTTTAGAAAACAAGTTGGCTGTTTCTTAAAACAGCCAACCCAGCAATTTCACTCCTATATATTTACCCAGAGAAATAAAAACATATGTCTATACATATGTTGGGGGTCACAGATATGAATGGGGAGTGAGTACAGATGCATATGAGATTCCTTTTTGAAGTGATGAAAATGTTCTAAAATTACATAGTAGTGATGGTTACACAACTCTCTAAATTTACTAAAAATCACGCAGAAATAGAATATAAAAGGGAAAAAAAAAGAAACTTACTTGACAAGAAATATAGGAACCATGCACTCACTCCTGCAAATTTTATCCCACACAACAGTCCCAGGCCTCCCACAAGCCTTACCTTTTCTAACCGCTCAGGACTTGGCATTGGCAATACCTGTCGCTTGGCCTCCTGCTCTAGAGTTAGAAGCATGTTTCTTTCTTTCAGTAGGACATACCTGTATCAAAAAACACAAAGCTTGTGATGCTATTCTGTGATAACAATAATAAAGTTGTGAATCTTGACATAGAAATTAATGATCTGTTCTCAAAAATCCTTTAGAAATCTCAATATACATAATAACCTTACAAAGAATAATCCTTCAAAAAGAGCTGCATCTATTTTTATTCATTTGTTCAATAAATTTTCCATGTGCTATATATTGTATAAGTGCCAGGAGACATAAAGCATAAAATATAGTTCTTATATTCCAAGTGGAGAGAGAAGATGGATCATAAATAACATTTATTCAGTGTCTGTTATGTGCCAGGCAATGTGTTAAATACTTCATATACATTATTTCATTTAATTCTGAGAACAATCCTTTGAAGTTGGTATTGTTTTCACTTTCTACATAAGGAAAACTAAGGCTGAGAGAAGTAGGATATCCTGGCACACATAGCTAATTTAAGATTCAAACCCTGGACTCCCTGTATGCAAAATCCATTCTACTTTTACTCTACTGTGCTGCCTCCGAAACCACAATGTGATGCGGTCGGTGCACTGAATGGTAGGAAACTAGTAGCAGAAGAATTAAGTGGGAGAAAGGAGACATCTTTTCTAGCTAAGATGATCAAGGAAAACTTCACAGAGATGGAATTTATTAGGCTGGAAAGGAAAGCAAAGCAAACATAATCCAAGATACTGAGGGGCAAAGCTGAACTGGGGGTAAGTTTTTTTATGAGTAACTATGTGACTAAGAATTGGAGCTGAAAAAAAGGAAATAAATGAAGAGGGCACTGAAAAGGAGACGAAGGAATTGGGGTACTTTATGCTATGCAAGAAGACAATTTGGGGGAAAGCAGTGGCAGAAGATAAATTGGTTTTTGCCACGATGAATATTGAAACAGCCCTAACTATACTTTTACCAATAACTCATACTAACAGTCTTTAGGCACAACTTATACAATCTATTTTTAATATAACTTATAATTCTATAATGAATCTATGCTGTTTTGTACATAACACTTGACAGCAAATGAAAGGTTTTTTCCCTCCTGACACCAAATATGTGTTGTCTTTTCCAACACCACTTCTTCAACTCTCTGACACTAACTACCTAGAATTAGCACCAGATTAAACAGATTTAAGGGTTCAGTCTCACAAGAATGTCCCTCACTTTCGACACGAATAGCAAGTTCTGGGGCTCCATTACATCTGACTGACCAGCTCAACAGTAGGGGTTCCAATGACTCCCTGTTTGGGTTCAATAATTTGACTGAACGACTCACAGAACTCAGGAGTGCATTTTACTTGCTATTACTGATTTATTATAGAGGCTACAACTCAGGAACAGCCAAATGGAAGAGATGCATAGGGCAAGGTGTGTGTGCAGGGGTGCAGAGCTTCCATGCCTTCTCAGGGCACACCACCCTCTCGGCACCTCGGTGTGTTCACCAACTTGCAAGATCTCCAAACCCAATTGTTTAGGGTTTTTTGGTAGAGGCTTCACTATGCAGGCACGATTAATTAAATCATCGATTGCTAGTGAACTCAATCTCTAATCTCTCTTCCCTCCCCAGAGGTGAGGGTGATAGTGAGGGTGAAAGTGCCATCCTTGAATCATGTCTTCATCTTTCTGGTGGACAGTCTCCATTCTGAAGCTATCTAGCACCTTCCCCCACCAAGAGCTGCCTAATTAGAACATAAGACACTCCTATCACTCAGGAAATAACAAGGGATTTAGGAGCTGTGTATCGGTAAATGGAGACAAAGACCAAATATATATTTCTTATTGTATCACATGATAAGCCTATAATATTAGTGGTTTTTATAAGCATTTTATAATTCTTTAATCTGCCATGAAAGATAAATAATCCTTTAAATAAGTGGATAAACTTTAAATGCTCACTATAGAGTATATAGCCAGATAACAATTATGAGCGAAGTGGGCTTGGTGAAAGAACAGGATGGGTAAGAAGTGGTATGTGCTGCTCCATCTAGATGGGAAAGTGGCTACAAAGCCCAGCCAGTTGTTGCCATGTATGAATGCAGGTCCAGTGCTGCCAGATCAGAGGTCTGATTAATTAAGAGGAGCCAGAAATCCTTATTTTTGTGTGAAATTTCCCAATTTGAAAAACAGTAAAGTCCAAACATAACATATCTTTGGGCTAAATATAGTCAGGTTTTTTTTTTTTTAAATTTTTTAGTGCTTTGCTTTTATTATTCTTGCATCCTTGTGAAAGATAACAGAATTCTGACATAAAGTGGGTATGTGACTCGTGCAGAATTTACTGTAAACTAGAGATGGGTAATAGGGGGATAGGTGAAAAGGGTGAAGGAGGTCAAAACATACAAATTTTCAGATAGAAACTGAGTAAGTCACAAGGATGTAATTTACAGCATGGTGACTATAGGTAATAATACTGTATTGCATATTTGAAAGTAATTAGGAGAGTAGTTCTTAAAAGTTATCACGGGGAAAAAAATTTGTAACGGTGTATGGTGATGAATGTTACCTGCACTCACAATGATGATCATTTTGGGATATATACAAATACTTAATCATTATATTGCATACCTGAAACTAATGTTATGTCAATTATATGTCAATCCTCTTGACCCTCTCTAATTCATCAGGAGAAACTGCCAGAAAAGTCAACCTAAATTCCCAGTTAATGCACCCTCCAAAACACTTCCCCAAAGCAAAGAAGACAAAGATTTCAGACGATGTAAAAGGTAATAAAAAGAAAGGCCTAAATGTGACCAACTTTTCCTCATTTCATTAGTATACTGAAATTGTTAGTTTAAAGGTACTAGTATGACTGGTAGCAGTTACAGTAAACATTTCTAAACTCCCAACTATTTGATAATTCTAATACATCTGTCTTAATGTAATTTAACCTGTCATATTTATAAAATCTTCAGTGATTTTACATATCATCTATAATACTATAAAACAAATTGCTTTACTCAATTTCTTATATCACATAAATATAAGGTTTATACCTCATTGTTATACTGTAACTGCTTCGAATACCGAGATGTTCATGTACTCAGTATATTTACCAAAGTTTATGTAAATCTTCATTACTTTTGTTCCTTAATTGCTGACAGGTCCACGAAGCACCTATTAAAAATGATAAATTGATAATATGAGTAATTTTCTAGCTATGTGCTCTACGGCAAATTACTTAACCTCTCTAAACCTGTTTCCTTATCTGTAAAATGTATAATAGCTTTTTATATTACAGTATAATATATAATTAGGATTAAGTTTGTATAAATTAGATAACACATGAAAATATGAATAATGAAACTGGCAATAGCATTAAAAAAATGTGAGTATTACTACTGAATGCATTTTCACAGTCTAATGTCAAAATTCTTTATATCATTATAAATTAATTTTCATTATCTCTAAAAATTGAAATCCAAAACAAACCCCAAACAACTCAGGGAATAATTTCAACCCACTCCTCTTCTAAATCTTTTGCCAATCTGCCAAGAAACAATTTACTATTATATCGTCCTTTTAATTTTTGCTAATAGACATTCCCATAGGAAACTGAAAAAGAAAATGCCCAGGTAATTCCTAAACTGGATAACAATCCCAAAATGATGGACAATTCAATAACATATTTAATATCAATCAACCCAAATATCTCACCAGATTTCACTTTTTCTTCCCCCCAATTCTTTGGGTCATCAAAAAATTCTTCCAGTCCTTTCCTTGACAACGTGGTATGAAGTAGTCTACACTTGTGTAAAGATGTGACTTTTGGTGTATTCTTAAGCAACAGATTAAGAGAAAAACTACAATTGAACACAAATAAACTAGTGATTAATGTTTTATAACATTTAGATTTTATAAGCAATAAATGGAATAATTTCCTCATCTACAATGTTAAAAAAAAGTACTTGTGTTTCTGCACAGAAACAATAAATTTACAAAATGCTTTAGAAATTATTTTTAATTTTGCATTGTAAATATTGATACTCTACAATTTCATATTTATATAATTATATTTTAAGGTAACATCAGTAGGTCCTTCATACACTGCTAGTGGGTATATGATTAGATTAAAAACATTCCAAAAGTTAATTTTCCAACATGTATTAAAGGCCCCAATGCTTCTTCTATTAACTCATTAATTCCACATTTAGAAATTTCAATTAAAGAAATTATCAATGGGAGTTGATAAATTGTCAAAGCATTATATATGATATAAAAACACTGATAACATAAATGTGCAACTGGAGCATGTTTTAAAAAAATTGTTGTGCATCTGTATGATAATCTTTTATGCAGTTAATTGAAAAATCATGTTTTTAAAGAATATTTAAAACACAATAGTGAAGTGTGTCACAAGCATACTCCTACCAAAAATACTTAACCTGAATCTAATTATGAGAAAACAATCAGACAAATCCAAATGAAAGGTTATTCTAAAAAGGATGATCTTATCAAAAATGTCAGTCATGAAAAAAAAAGGATCCATTCTGTATTTAAAAGGACTAAAGACAGTGGCCAGGACATGGAAGCAACTGAAGTGTCCTATGATAGATGATTGGCTAAAGAAGCTGTGGTACATATATACAATGGAATATTACTCAGCCATAAGCAGAGATGAAATACTGCCATTTGCGACAACATGGATGGAACTCGAGATAATCATGCTAAGCAAAATAAGCCAGACAGAAAAAGTTGAAAATTACATGATATCACTTATATGTGGGATATAAACCTAAAAGCAACAAATGAGCAGGACAAACAAACAAGAGACTCAGGGATATGGGCTATAGACTAGTGGTTACTGGAGGACTATGGAGTAGTGGTTACTAGTGGGGTGGGAGAGGAAGCGGGAGGTAAACGGGGTAAAGGAGGTCAAATATAGGGTTTAGGGGGAGGGTGGATAAAGGCCATCAAATATATGGTAGCTGAAGGAAACTGGATTTAGGGCGGTAAACATACAATAGAATATACAGATGTCAAATGATAATGTACACCTAAAAAATTATATAATTGTATTAACCAATGTTACCCCAATAAACTTAATTTAAAAAAAAAAGGGACTAAAGAGAAATGACAACTACTGCAATGATTGTTGACTGGATCCTGAATAAAATATTAAGAAAGAAAAAAATTACCAGGACAATTGAGGACATCTAAATTTGGGCTCTCTGCTGGATAATAGTAGTGCAATAATAGTAGTGTAACAAAATTAAATTTCCCAGTGTGATTACTAGAGTATTGTGGTTATTAAGACAAGATTCCTGTTTTTAGGAAATATATAATAAAGTGTCATATTTGCAATTCTGACATGCCTCAAATAGTTCAGAAAAAAAGGCATAGATATAAAGAAAGAAAATGCAACAAAATGAGAAAGATTAATATAGATGGAGAGTATATGGTTTACTCTTTGAACAACTTACAACTTTTCTGTTGGTTTGAAACTTCTAAAAATAAAAAATTTGAGAAACAAGAGTACAGAATGCATATATGTAATTATAACCCTGATTTTATTTCTAAAATTCATGTATGTGCGCATATGCAAAGTTAAAAAGAAGGAAAGGACATCTGTTTATCTCCGAGTGGTAGAATTACAGTTGATTTTTACTTTCTTTTTCAAATACTTTACCCTATTTTCCAAAGTGTCTAGAAATGAACAGATATTCATTTTACAATCATCTAAAATTAATTTTTAAGGAAAAAGGATGAGATGGAAGAGACAATTGATCCAAGTTTGCCACCTTGATCAAGTTACAAATTCTGAGACTGCAAAATGAACAAAATATTGCTTCTCTGTGAAGTTAGTATAACTAATAATACTGTCACGAATAGATGCTCAATAATTGTGCTGCATTTAGGAGCACATAGATTACTTACTTTTGGGAAAAAAAGATCTGACCTATGCAACTATTTATAAAATTCAAATCATTAAAGATGAAAACCAATAAAAGGTAGGTCTGTCCAGAAGACAAGCTAATTTTCCAGAAATGATCAACACCATGCCCAGCATGTTCCATTCTCGCAACTGCAAGAGCGACTCTTCGTTCATTTGGCTACTTTCATGTATTCACGCAATATTTCCCAAACAATCTCTTCGTGATCGATTCTGTAAGTACAAAGGCCCCTTCTTTTTTATCCTCCAAACCAGACACAGCCTTCAGTTCCATAGCCGAAAGCTCTTCAGTCAAGTTCTTCCCAACTGATTTAGCCACATAAGATGCTTTTTATTTCTAGGTTTAATTCACTACGGGGCACCCAAAGACCCCCATGTACTGCCTAGTCCACAGTAAGTGGCAATCAGATAATTGAGTAAGGAACGGAAATGTCGCAGGTGGGCTACTTCTTCAAGGACATTCATGCCTCACAGAGGTGGGTTCGGGCTCAGCCAACCCCGCGCCCTTCCATCTCTGAGCTGTTCTCAGCATCTGGACAACCAACCAAGATCCACTGAAGAGGTGGACAAACCTACTCTTCACATCACTTACCCAGTACTAGCAGGGACCTGATGACTTATCAACGACCTGGAAGTCTTCAGGGCGCCCGAGACTTTTCTGCAAAGAACAGCCAAACTGCCCGCAGCCATCGCGTCGCATAAGGAAACCGCGTTTCCGCCAATAATGGCGTCACTTCCTATATCTCATGTCGATGGGAGGAGAGAACAGGAACAGCCTTTGCCCTCACTTAACATGGCTAACTTCCGCCTTCGCTTTCATTGGTAAATTGGCTCTCTCGGCTTCCGTTACCTTCCCTGGTTCTTCCTATTGCCGTCGTAGCCATGGCGGCCATGAGTTTACTGCAGCGGGCTTCGGTCACTGCGGTGGCCGCTCTGACTGGCCGCCGCCTTGGCACTCGCCTTGGATTAGGGGGCTTCCTCATGCGAGGCTTTCCGAAGACTGTCGGTGGGTGCTGGCTTTTGGAGAAAGCTCTATCAGGGGAAGCGGGGTGAGAGATAGAGGACTCTTCCCCAGTGACCTTGGTGGGACCCGAAGGGAGCCAAGAGAAATTGCGGGCTTGGGGCTTGAGAAGAGAGCTGGAGCATGGGCTGTGTGAGGAGATTAAGGGTTCTCGTATCGATCGAGTTTAAATTATTAATTAGCATTTGTGAAACACTACATTCAGCCAACCCAATTGGTGCTAATTTGAGAATGAAACTGAGGTTGGAAAGGCATAGAGCTGAGACCCGTTTCTCTTGGGTACCAGTTTGTACTTTCCACATGCACTAGGTTCTGGTCCCACAAGATATGAAGCCATGTTGCTGAAGAGCCCACTGATGCTCAGGAATGCATAGCTAGGTGAAAAGGCTCATGATGAGGCATTATACATAGGGACTTGCTGAGAATATGATAGAAAGGATCAGTGCTATTCACCAAATTTCAAGCAGGGATTTCAACCTGTTAAAACACTGCTTTG